GCTCAGGTCCGGGTCCAGGTGGAGCTGGGGGCTACAAGCTGTCCCGGGAAATGTAGCGGGAGTGGCTGAGGACCTGAGGTAGGAATAATGCCAACACAGACACTGTTCTACAAGATGGTGGTCTTCTCCACAATGCCATTGTCCTTTGTCTTTCCCATACCCTTAGGAATATTCCAATTACACCAAAGTTAACCTTACTGCAGTGCTGTCCCTCACCTCAACTTCTTTTCCTGATACACGATCTTTCCTTGCTTCTACTTAGAAACTAAGGCATGGCTCAGAAAAAAATCTCAACTGAATTCAATTTATGGAAGAAAATATAAATCATTTAAAGAAGGTTGTGTTCAAACATCAAAGGCAATCGTAGAGGAGCAAACAAATGTGCCTTTGATTTTAGTTATCTGAGCCTTTCTTTATTTCCCCCTTAGTCTAAAGGCCTATACATGAACTCAGTGTATCGTTTCAAATAATCGAGTCTTAGTTTCTGTTAGGTTTGCTTTCCTTTTAGTGTAACAGTAATACCTCAAGTAAAGAAAGCATATGTGTACAATAATCTGCATGCTTTCTTTACTCATTTTCATTCTTTGTTGCTCAGGCCCATCTTTTAGTTTGATGTTCTTTTCTCCTGCTTGATGTAATGTGCTCTTAAAACCTTGTAGTGAATTTTACCCTTAAGTTACTGTCCATTGGGACATGATATATTTCCCATCTCTTCATTGAAATTCTCTCTTTGCTCAACTATTGTTTCCCCTGATCTTATAGAATATCTTTCCAGTAGTTGTTTTAAATTCTCTTTCATGTGAATAACTCTCCATCCATTTCACTGGGATTTGGAAGATTATTGCTTCCTTGTGTTTGGCACATTATCCCTTGTTTTTATGCTCCTTGACTCCACTAGTATCTGGGCATGAGACAAAATAGCCACCACTTTTCTCAGTTCTCACAGACTCACCTTAGATAGGGCATTTATCATCAATCAGCTCAGGCTGTGATTCTGGAGGCCTCTGGAATTTCGGAGCTAGTCCAAACTACATTCTTGTTCTTTGAGGCCCCCAGGTATCTGGGATATATGAAATCCTGTCTGTACTCTGACAGAAATAAGAAGACTGCTCTTCAAGCAGGCTCCAGAAAAGTTGGAGATAAGGACACATGATCCAACTCTTTCTCTCCTCAAGGAGAATCTGGAATCTGGAGGATTTCTCATCCTGCATGGAGCTAAGGAAGAGGGCCGTGGTAAATGTTATGATGCCGGTATAAATTGTTGTCTTTGTTCTCAATGGCTCCTAGCTGTCTAAATATACTAAATCTCATTAGCACCCCAAGACAGACAAGACAGAATTGATTGCATTAGAAACTCTTGGGAGGGAATATAAGTATGGCATCTAGGATCCAATCTTTTCCTTTCCTTGCCACACAGATGCCAAGGACTGGAGGTTTCTTCCTGGTCATTGTGTTGGGGTTAGGGAATGTGGAAAAAAGGTATCATAAATGTTTCCTCGGCTTCACTTTGGCTGGTTCTGTTCACCTCAGGTGCAAGAGCCTAGTTAGTGGATTTCCCACAAAGGGAATCGACCTGTGTATATTGACTCTGTGTATCTATGGGAGAAACGAGAGTCAGGGACTTAACATTTCACCATCTTGCTGATGTCATCCCCAGAAGCAAAGGTTTGAACTTAAATAATTCACATACCTCCTTATGGTATAAGTTAAGAGAAGTCATTTCCCTTTTCTGAGTCTTATTTTCTTCATCTTTTAAGTAATAATGATGCTCTGTAACTCACAGTGTGTGCGTCTGTATGTTTGTATGTCTGTACATGTGTGTGCGTGTGTGATAAGATATTATTGTGGTTGAAGGATGGGGTAGCAATGATTACTTTTAAAAACTTCATCCTTCCTATTTTGACCTAGATGGTTCAGATAAAGAATTTCATGTAAATCCAGATACCTGGGCGCATTGTCCATGTTAACATGGTAGGGACCAAATCTCACTCACCTAGCAAGCACTAAGGGACACAGAACTCTCTGCATGGGTTTATCTGGAGTGGGGGTGTGGGAACAAATTTTTACACCAACTTAATAACTTGTAGAAGTTGGTAGATGATCACTGTCTGTCACCTTCTCTCATCTTTTGCATTTGGTTATCTTATTTTGAATGATTCTTGAAGAGAACAAGTTTACTTCATGAGGTATATTGCCACCAACAACTCCTGATACTGGCATGGAAATGGATTCAGCTCATCTTATGGGAACCCTCCCCACCCCCAGCCTTAAGGCTCTGTACAAGCATTCATAATTATAATGTCAGTATTGTTGTTCATTGATGATGATGATGATGATGATGATGATGATAATGATGGTACCATGTCGTGAATACTTGTTATTGATTTTTCCACACAACTCAGTAAGATTGGGTTATTTCCTTTTTGTAGATAAAGAAAATCAATTGGAAAATGTTTAAAATTTGCCTAAAATATAATCAATTTGTGTTGGGGTTGGAAGTTGAGTGATTCAGGTATCTGAGAGCAAAGCCTGAAACACCTAAATATACTGTTAAAAATCCTTCTATTGCCAGGCACCAGTGACTCACACCTACAATCCTAGCTGCTCAGGAAGCTGAGATCTGAGGATCCAGGTTCAAAGCCAGCTCCAAATAAACACCAGAAAAGAGGAAGTGGAGCTGTGGCTCAAAGTGATAGAACACTAATCTTGAGCAAAAAAGCTTAGGAACAGCACCCAGGCCCTGAGTTCAAGCCCCATGACCCAGAGTCTTTTCTGATTTTCAGAGGGGAAGGAAGTCTTAGATTCACTGCTGTCTACTGCCCCTCATTTCAGTTTTTCTCTCTGGTCTGAAGTTCCCACCTTCTATACTCCATCAGTCCCCCAAGTACCTCCTCTTCCTATGACCTTAGACATCTGGTTTCTCTCTGAGGTTCTCCTAAGATGAGTACAAGTTTCACTAATTTAATTTTCTTCCCAAGACAACAGCAGTTCTGCATAGTTGACTGAACTATCCAGGTTAGAAATTAGATTGACTGGGACTGGGAAGGTGGCTCAGTGGTAGAGCTCTTGCCTTGCATGCATGAGGCCCTGGGTTCGATTCCTCAGCACCACATAAGCAAAAAGAAAAAATCCGGAAGTGGAGCTGTGGCTCAAGTGGTAGAGTGCTAGCCTTGAGCTGAAGAGCTGAGGGACAGCGCCCAGGCCCAGAGTTCAGGCCCCATGACCGAACCCAAAAAAAAAAGAAATTAGATTGACTTTTTTTTTTTTGGGGGGGGGGGGTCTGGTCGTGGGGCCTGAACTCTGGGCCTGGGCGCTGTCCCTCAGCTCTTCAGTTCAAGGCTAGTGCTCCACCACTTGAGCCACAGCGCCACTTCTGGCTTTTTTCTTTTTGCTTATGGGGTGGTGAGGAATAGAACTCAGAGCCTCATGCATGCAAGGCAAGTGCTCTACCACTGAGCCACTTTCCCAGCCCCAACTTTTTCTGAAATCTAAGAGGTGAAAATCTAAGAAATGAAAAGACCTAAACCTAAGATCTAAAGCTATAAAACTCACAGAAGAAAATATTTTTTAAAAAACTTAAAAATGAGCAAAGAACTTGAATAGAAATTCCTCCAATGAAGATATGCAAATGACCAATAAACACTTAAAAAGATTCTCAACAGCACTAATCATTAGGGAAATGCAAGAGCCAGGCACAGTGTCACACGCCTGTAACATCTGATGGGAAGACTGAGGCAAACGGATCACAAGTTGAAGGCTACAGTGAGATATCACTTCATACCCCTTTTCAGATGGATATTATTTTAAAACCAACAGGTAGAAAATAACAAGTTCAGGGGAGTATTGGAACCTTTCTCGGTAGGAATGGTGCAGCCACTGTGGAAAATATATCATTTCAGTTCACCGGATTGTGTTTACCAGAGTACACTGGCAATATCAAAGGCATTAGGAAGCTAATGTCGGTCCCTTACACAAATATTCATTAGAATTAAAGAAGCCCTTTCTTCACACATACGGAGGCTAACTACCCCCTTATAGCACTTCGATATTTGCTACCACCACCAACCTGGTGATTTATAATAGCACTACTTGGGGACTCATTTGTTTTCTTTTCTTTAAATAAATTACTTGCAGTTGAGAACTGTCACGATATGTCTCTCCCAACGCCACCACCCAGAACCTTCCAAGTAGAAATTGAACAAGTACAGGGTAGGTTGAATTGGAAAAATAAATCAATAAATAAAAGGCAAAGCAACAAATTGATGGAGTGGAGCATCGGGAAGTCCCCACTGATAACAATATTCATACACAAGGGAAAGGAGAAAATGCTGGGTATATCAAGAAAAGCCAGAAGGTTCTTTTCCAGGGTGTTCCTGAGACTGCCTGAATCATTGATCTAGAACAAGTCTGGACCCCCAACTCCTGCTGAGAAAGGATGAGTGAGAGCCTCCTCAATATATATTTGGGTACCAGCAGCTCTGGGGGTTGGTTCAGGTCATGAGAAAAATCCAGGAGTCAAGGAGCACAGAACGCAGTAGCTCTGCCTTCTCAACCTCTCCTATGGGTGCAGAGTGCCAGGCCAGCTATCTGCCTCCCAAGTTTGGTACAACCCTTGTCTGCAAGAGTCATGTCATTGTATGGTCTGACTTTCAAGTGGCTTTTAATAGAGTCCTCCAGTGATGAATATGTTGCAACAGATGAATACCAATGAGAAAGGTATGCGCTTTGCCAGGAAAATGGCATTTATTAGGTTACAAGGGAGGGCCGCTGGCACTTCAGAGAGTTCTCTGGGTAAAAGCAAAGAAGTAGATTCTGATGAAGGAAAAGGCAGGCATGGGATGGTCTAGAACAGGTTGAGGTGGTTAGATGCTTCGGGTGAGTTTCTTAGCCATCCTCACTGAGGCAGCTCCATCCATTTAGTTTGTTGAGTGGACCAGAGCCAAGCCAAAGCTCTGGAGCACTAGGCCCTACATCCTTGCTCCTTTGGCATTTCCCGGGCTCTAGCGCACAAAGGAGTTGCAGGGCCCACAACGGGGTCGTGGGACACAAGGTGTGCAGGGGGCCGGAGGTGGGCAGGGGGTGCAGGGATTGGACACACAGGGCCCGATGGGTTTGCCGCACGCGTTGCTTGTGGCACAGGGGTTGCAGGGCAGCCTGGAGACAAAGAAGGATGCAGAAAAGTGAGCAGAGGCAAATGTCTAATCATCTAGTACAGAGACACTGCCACCACCGCCCCCCTGCCCTCCGCCCAGGGTGAGCTGCCTCTTAGGCCTCCACCTGACCTGGAACAGGGAAGGCCGAAGCTCCTCCAGCTGTAAACTTTCCAAGTGCTACAACTAACATAGGCATCCCCAAAGTAAATACTAAGCAGAAACTCTAACCTCTACCTCCAATCTATCTATTCCTAGCTGGTGAGCTTCTCAAATCTTAGCTTCCTCACCTACAGAAGAGGAAGATTGTTGATCCAATTATCCTGGGGGGTGATTATAGGGTCAGATAAGTAGTATATAGCAATACACCCTCTCACAATAAGGTACTGTATAAAATAAGGCATGTTGGTCACATATCCCATCACCATGCAGGTCACGAGAGCAGAATTCAGAGAATTGCCTGTCCCATTTCACTTTGTACATCGGACAACTCTTGCTACCAAACCCCATAGCTATATGTATTGTTGGTTACCATATGTTTTCTGAGCTCTATGTGAGTACAGCTGGTATGAAAGAGGACTTCCCTTCTAAGGTATGCAATCTCTGGAGCAAGCAATCAGGGAATGAACTCCTGATGTGCCGGCATCTAACCCCTCGAGCTAGGCACTCACTTGCAGTCTTCGCTCTCCAGCAGGCCCCGGTACGTGTTGATCTCACACTCTAGCCGGGCCTTGACATCCAGCAGCACCTGGTACTCCTGGTTCTGGCGCTCCAGGTCAGACCTGATCTCAGACAGCTGCGACTCCACGTTGGTGATCAGACACTGCACCTGGGACAGCTGGGAGCTGTAGCGGGCCTCACTCTCTGTCAGCGTGTTCTCCAGAGAGTTCCTCTGCAGGGGAGAAGATGAGGATGTCAGGAGCTACTCCTGCAAAGCCTTCCTCCAGGGCCTGCCACACAACTCAGGAGCTTCAAGGACTCAGGGGAGCGTGGTCTGAGGGACACTCCCCCACCACACACGGCTCATGGCTACTCTGAACAATACACACCAGGTTGTGCTGGGCCTGCAGCTCAATCTCCAGGGAGTTGACTGTGCGTCTCAGCTCGATGATCTCTGCCTGGTAGGACTGCAGCTGCTCTGAGCTGGACACCACCTGCTTGTTCAGCTCCTCAGTCTGCAATAGCAGAAGGGGAAGAGACAGGGTCAGCCGCTGCCTTGTGGACTCTGTCTGTGAGCCTAGAATCCCAAATGGCCGTGTGCTTCGATGCCCACCTGTGTGGTGAACCATTCCTCCACCTCCCTGCGGTTGGTCTCCACCAGGGCCTCGTACTGACACCTGGTCTCGTTCAGCACCCTGTTGAGGTCCACGGTGGGAGCGGCATCCACCTCCACGTTGAGGCGGTCTCCCAGCTGGCAGCGCAGGGTGTTGACTTCCTGTGGATACAAAACAAACACAGAAGTTGCTATCCTGAACGGAGGATAGACTCAGAGATGATACCGGTTGATGAGTCCCTGTTCTCCCCACTCAGAAAAAGAACTTCCATCAGAGCAGTCCATGACAGCTCAGGGCCAAATGGTGTGCACTCCACATGGCACACCTCCTTCCATGCCCAGGCTGTGCTGTGGCATTTAGTCCACAGAACAGTTCCAATGAATTGCCTCAGCAATCAGTGAAGCAGGCAGTCAGAGTAAAGACTTAATTCCCAGATTAAAGACTAGCTGTGAGAAGCTCAGAAGGCAAAGAATTGGCCGTACAACTTCAGATTCTATATCAATCCGTTCTTGCCAAGTAAGAAGTAAAATGATATCATGGCCCCTTCTGGGAGATAGAAGAAATGTCTCCAAGAACAGTGGAGGCATGTATGCATTAGCCTTGACTTTCTGATTTTTGGTTTAAAAAAAATGAATTTCTTTGCATGGCACAAATATCTCATTCCTGGGCCCCATTCTCCAATTTGATGACCAGTTAGTGGCTAAGAGAGGTGTTGTAAGAAACCAAGATGCACAAGGTTTTTGAATGGAAAATATCTTGCGTGGGAACATGAGCAGGTTTTACCTCAAATTTCTCTTTCATTATGAGGCCATGATGGTTTTTCTTTGTTAAAGGAATTCATAAAGGCACCTTCAACTTCATACCTGTACTTCTGATTCTGCTTCTCCAAATCCCTAACGCTCCCCTTAGCTTGAGGCTGGGAATTTCCGGTCTCACCTCCTCGTGGTTCCTCTTGAGACAGAGCAGCTCCTCCTTCAGGGACTCCACCTGGGCCTCCAGGTCAGACTTGCACAGGGTCAGCTCATCCAGGATCCTGCGCAGGCCGTTGATGTCGGACTCCACCAGCTGCCGCAGGGACAGCTCCGTCTCATACCTCCACAAAGATGGGGTCAGAGTAAGACTTCAAGACTCACAAGAATTGGCCCCTATAACCTCACTGGCCTTTGCCTTACTACTTCCTGTGGCACATACACTCAAGAGACAGAGGGGCTTAGCAGCTCTGCCTAGACCCAGTGTTATTCTCATCTATATTTTTGTGTTTTCTTTGCTCAGTTCACCCCAAACCTCTTCAGCATCCTTCACAACGGATGGAGTGGTCTGTTGTTCACTGAAGCGGTGGGGATCCCTTTCTTTAAATAGAGGCTCCTATGAGGCAAAGGCTACAGGTTTGAATCCCAAATCACTCACTTGGTCCTGAAGTCATCAGCAGCCAGCTTAGCGTTGTCAACCTGCACCACCATCCTGGCGTTCTCAGACTTGGTGCACAGGATCTAAGGAGTGAGAAGCTGCTTAGTGAGGGTGGAAAAATCCAACTCCTTTAAAATGGCTGTAAACAGTATGTGGGAGGTAAAAAGGGAAAGCCATGGGGGAAACACGTGGTTCCCCCCAGGCTGAGAACAACAGTGAGCTCCCCTTGCTGAAAGATGACAGCGAAGCCCCCCACACACACATACACACACACACACCTTCTGCTGGAGCTCCTCAATGGTCCGGAAGTAGGCCTGGTAGGCAGGACACACCAGTGGGTCCTGCTGCTGGTTCCTCTCCTGGATGCGGCTCTCCAGCTCTGCATTCTCTCGCTCCAGCTGACGCACCTTCTCCAGGTAGCTGGCCAAGCGGTCGTTCAAGAACTGCATGGTCTCCTTCTCATTGCCGTTGAAGGAGCCCTCGCAGAACCAGTTGCAGTTGCCCACATTGGCGGGGATGTTGCAGGCACCGGGCAGGGTGCAGCTGTGGCAGCTGGGAGGAATGCAAGGCCGGGAGGCGCAGCTGGTGCGGCAGCTCAGGTTGGGCAGGCAGCAGTTGTACGGCATGGTGCTGGAGGGAGCGAGGTGCCTGGATGAACACAGAGTACAAGTTTCCTAAGCCTCAGAGTTGTGGGTCACCTACCTCTGGTGAGCATTTATACTCCTTCCACAGAGGGTGTGGATATGGTATGTGATGTCTTTTTCTCTTTGTACTTCTCCACTGGTTTTAGACGCCCTTCCGTTCAGTCTGTTATTTGCTTTCCTCAGAAGAGTCCCTTCTCCCATAAAATTCTTTACTTGGGCTTCTTGCTAAGTCAGGACTCTTCTTCAGGCAGTACACCCATGAAATCAGAGTTCTGTGGTAGACCTTCAAAGAGGCCTATTCCGTCCAGCCCTCATTAATTGGGTGTGGGTCCATCCAATGGCATTCTTCTGTGTCACATGATCTTTTAGGCCCATCATCAAATTCACACCATGGTCCCCCTGACATTTCTTGTGAGAGACACAGCTTGGTGTGAGGAAGAAGTCACCTTAAATATCAGCAATCTGCTCCCTTTCCCTCTGCTTTAAGAAAAGGATCAGAAGTAGCATCTCAGGCTCAGGATGGATGATTGAAGTAGATGACTAACACTTACCTGCCCATGACTGAAAAGGGAGGGGAGTGTTTCACAGAGCCGCATGATAACCCCCTTCCAGTTATCATGCAAGAGAGTTGTAGAAAAGAGGAAAGTGTTATTATAATTAGCCGGTTGTACAAAGGGGTTTTGACTCAGCATGTCTGCTCGTGGGTATAATGCAGCTTGATCAGTGTCCCCCCCCCTTCCATCATTCTCCCTCATTCTCTCTCCTAACCCTACCCGTCCCCTCGAGTTACCTGGTTCCATTTTCACATATGCACATTGGATATTAGAACTATATTTGCCTACCCTTCCTCTAAAGGTAAGCATTTTAAAGGCTGGAATTTGAACAGAAAATTTACTGGTAGAAGAGCTAGGAAATAAAAGCTAGGAGAGCCACATAAATGCATTTCAAACTGTCTAGGAAAAAAAAAACACACATGTGTAAGCAAGTTTGAAAAGACTCAAGTGTTCATTATGTTTCCACTAGTTATCCATCTCAACTAAACAGAATGCATGGGTCAATTAGGAAAGTCTGGAGATAGTCCAAAGGACCCTTTAAAAGCATAGATCACTTAATCTGAAAGCATAGACAAAGACTTTATATTCCATAATGCTATATATATAGTCCATGGGCTTTAACTTCTTCTTAAAATCACTTCTTGAATGTGAAGTTCAATGTTCTAACATTTTGCTCAGTTGTGTAAGTAAAACGGACACACAGTGTAGATGTACCATATTTTCTCTTGGGCATCCCATTAGCAGCTACTGGTTTACATGCAAAAGTACCAAAAGGAATGTTATGGTTGTATCACTGATACAACCTATACACCAGAAATGAAAACAGAGACACACCACAAGCAGAGAGTTACTAGAGATTGATCTGGGAGTGAGAGGGGTGGCCAACATTGGGAATAAAAGTTGTATAAATATAGGTACCAGCAAGGCACTGGTAGCTCATGCCTATAATCCTAACTACTCAGGAAACTGAGAGCTGAGGCTCAAGTTTCAAAGCCAACTTAGACAAGGAAGTCTGTGAGACTCATAGATTCATTAACAGAAGTGGGGCTGTGGCTCAAAGTAGTAGAGCACTAGCCTTGAGCAAAAAAGCTCAGGGACAGCACCCAGACCCAGAGTTCAAGCCCCACAACCAACCAAAAAAAACTGTGTGTGTGTGTGTGTGTGTGTGTGTGTGTGTGTGTGTGTGTGTGTGTACCACCTACCCCACCTGCCTCTCAGGAGAAGCATCTCAAGCTCTACCTGTGGCTTTGGCTGCTATCCAGGACCTGTGTTTTACTGACAACTTATTGGAGTCCTTCTTCCCTCTAGGCTTTCATGGTAGTAGTCATATAGCTTGGGTCTCAAATAAAAGATCCTACCTTTGCAGGCCCCAAGACCATTATCACCATTTGTTATGACACCATTCAGGTGAAAAGTCCCACAGTACTACAAAGGACTGGAAATAAATCAAAGTGTCTTTGTTTCCTTCCACCACAGTTAAAACCTGGAGAAGTAGGCAGGTCTAGAGGCAGGCACCACCAAGACGCTCCAAAGAAATGCCACTAGGCCAGGCACTGGCATACTGGCAGGCAGCAGGGAGCTTCTGTCACCTGTCAACTGGGCACTCGCTTTTTCCATCCCAACGCTTGTCAACCTGCATAAGTGCTGGCTTCTTTGCAAAGAGCTATTTCCTCAGCCCTGTCTTCTCCCCAGCCTGAGAAGACTTACTTGACCCCTGAGCACAGATTAATTGTCAGCAGCAGTCTCCAATCTGCATGGTTTTACCTACTGATTTTGCTTGTGTAACCTCAGTCAGGCTTTTGCCAAAGGAGAATGTCTAGGTTCTATTTATGAAAAGACTGAAGGATCCGATGCGCAACAACAACATAGAATGTTGACAATTCAGAGATGACAAAGCAATGAAAAGAGTCGAAGATAAGGAGAGATGTTAAAAAGAAACAACACACTGAAGAAAGAGAGTGAGAAGTAATCTTCAAAACCATGCAGGACCTCACCCACCAGACAAAGCTAGCCCATCTAAATGGGGGCTAACCAGGAGAATGCAGAGCTGGGGAGTAGCCAAGGCAAGCTAAATTGATGGACAGAAGAGCAGCCCACCCGGGTGAGCATCCTGTGGGATGGAGATGGCCATGAGTCATGAAATGATCCGTGGACGCCAAACCACAGCTTCTGAGGCCTCTGAAAGATCAACATGGTTCCTTGTGGCTGAGAAAAACCACTGTCTACACCCAGGCTGTGTAGAGTAAAAAAGGAGCAACATGGTCCTTTCCCAAACAAGGAAGGATTGCAGAGAGGAGAGAGGAGCAGATAGAGTCAAACCATGCTACCTTCAGGTCATGGCCAACCAGCAGCTACGTGGAAGATGCAGGTTGTTTCCTGGCTGGCTGCCCTGAAGAAGGTGAAATGAGACAAGAATTCAGGATGGAGACTGCAGACAAACTGGCGGGTGAGTAAGCAACGTCGGTCATCTCTTGCTTGCATTGTTTTCAAAATGTCAGCAGGCTTGAGTGCATTTGCTTCTTGAACTCGTGAGGCAAAAAAGACTACAGGGTTCTAATGTCCCAGTGACATCGGAACAGGGATTTCGTGAACTTTCTTGACTTTCTAATATTTCTAGGTTTTATTGCTAATGGAGGAAACTGGGCAATCGAGGGATTGTGAAACCCACCTTTCCTTATCTAGTTTCATGTAATTCAAACTGTAACTACTGGGCTCCTTCTCTATGCTGAGCACAGAAGTCAAACTCAACAAAAGGATTGTGGTCCTGATAAAGGATTCTCATTGATGAACAATTTAGGCCAATACAAGAGCCAAAAAATATATACAATGCAGCCAAGAAATAAGAAAATGAGCTATTCAAAAGGTGTGAGATGGACATTTGAAATCTACTCATATGCTATCAAGAGCAGCTAAATATCCACTGTGTGTTTGACACAGTCTGAGGGGCAGGGGACATAATGGGGAGAGAATGGGACACATCCCTGCCCTCCTGAAATTCCCAGACCTGCTGAGCACATGGGTCCCCAACTAATAAGATGTAAAGTGTTGGGGCCCTTCATACCCCCAGCCCTCCCCAAAGCTTTTTTCTCTCCCTCCTCCTTCCCCCCCAATACTACTTCTTCTTACACCTGCTCTGGCTCAAACTCCAATGAGTTCAGTTCAGCCCAGTTGATGAGTCTCAATCATTGGGTGAGGGCTGGCACCAGTTCAGATTATTTACCTGTTTCTCCAGAGGGAGTTGTTTGCAGCTCTATTCTCTGGGTGATTTATAAATAGCACACAAAGAACAGATCTCATTAGCATCCTAATCCCTTGAAGAATCTCCTCTTCAGCTGTGGCTCACAGGAGGCTACACTGGAGGCTGAGATATGAAGATCATATTTCAAAGCCAGCCCAGGCAGGAAAGCCTATGAGACTCTTATCTCCAATTAACTATGAGAGAGAGAGAGAGAGAGAGAGAGAGAGAGGGAAATAGAAAAGAGAATAAAAGTACTGGAGGGAAATGTCAGTGACTCATGGATCTGCTAGAGAACAGACAGAAATCATGACCAGGGATCTCAGGGGATGGAGGTCTTAGAGGCCAAGGTGAATGACCAAAGCAGGGAGAGGGAAGGGAAAGAGAAAGGTACAGGGGCCAGCATAAAGGGGTGCCTTTCTCTGTGACAACCCCAGTATTTGAGAATGGTCTAGTGTGTAGCCTCATCCAGAGACTCGTCAGCAAGAAAAAGAGCAATGGACCAGCTGAAAAATCATGGGCCCAAGTGCTCAGTGCTAAGTGCTCACCTGCCATGGGGCCTGGGAGGAGTCATTTCACCTCCCTGCGCCTGAACTTTCACCTCCCTGCGCCTGAACGTCTCTCCTTTCTTTGGTGATGGTGATGCCTGTTCTGCCTCTCTCAAGGTTATTTGGGCCTTGAGTGAGATACCAGCACTTTGTGGATGGTAGACAAGGAACAATCCATGAGAAACTCAAGACTATTTCTCGTCTCTTCCTCCATAGACACTATGGCTTTGGTAATGGTAGGGCTAGATTAAGCTTCTTCAGTGTTTCCAGTCCCTGACATTGTCAGGGACCCCCCTCCGCCCCCGCCCCACCAAGCTTCATTCCCCATATCACTCTTGGTAGCATAAATTCCTAGATATGGTTCCCATAACAGAAACATTCTTGCTTCCTTCAAGGAAAGGAACCAAAACAATAGGGCAATTATGGTTCTATCCCCCCTCCTGATAAAATCTGAAACTAGGCTTCTGGAAAGTGCAGTGGGTTAGGAGGAAGTTGCTAGATCTTAATCCTGACTTCACCATCGCCCTCCCCCCACACACACACACACCCAGTAGCCAGATGACCTTGAACACATTAATGTATTGCTTAACCTCTGAGCCTTGGCTCCTCATCTGAAAAAATGAGAAATAATAACATTGACCTCATGGGATTGCTGTAAGGATTAAGTGATTGTGTATGTGTGTGTGTGTGTGTGTGTGTGTGTGTG